TGTGTTAAAAGTAACACTGAAAGCATGTTCTAAATCAAATCAAGATCCTGAATTTGTCTTATTTTGTACTTAGCTGTTAGCTGCAACAATAAGAGTACTATTTTGCTAGAAAGAGTTGTGGCTTTCTGAAGCTCTTTGAGTAGAGAATATCGTATGCCTGGTATGTTCAAGGTGGTATCTGTAGAATGTAAGAGCAGCTTTTATTCTTTACACATTGATGAAATTGCTCTCAATGGTAATTTTAAAAAGAGCTCTACAAGTATAAAAAGAGAGCCAGCATCTATTACTCAATCATAACTTTCTTTCACGTTAGTAATGTATTTACTTTCTAAACCTGTTTGCTACTTCTCTATGAATTTAAGTGACATTGGAGCACCTGGATGCAGAGATATCACTGGCTAATGAAAGGACTTCTAGGAAGCAAGGTTTATTGCTATATTTCAAGTGTTCTCTATTTTTAAAGAACATTAAGATACAACCATACATTTTTACTGTAGAGAACAAGTGAAAAGAACACGAGTTTGTGAGGAAAAGCACTGATCTAGCTTCAAATTTATATTTTGTACACTAAAGGTGACAGAAGACCATATGGAAACCCATGATAGAATAAAAATGCAAGTGAACTAGTGGCAGGAGAGGGAAATGTTCAACAGATTTCCATACCAGTAATACTGGCAGTATTCACTCAGTCTCTATATATCAAAAAAACAAGGGGATTTGAAAGAAATAGTAATAATGTCAAGTTACTAAAAAATAAAACGAGTCCTAGAATATGCGTTTCACAGAAAATTATAATAATTAAGATGATGTTTGTGTGCATGGGTTTGTGTTACTTTTGAAAAGCACAGCTGGATCCCAGGTCAGCACAGGAATTTTGTGGAGACGGCATTCTCATCAGTTGATTGACTACGGAGCAAAAGGCAGTTACAGTGGGTAACTGCTGAAGATTGCAACTGTTTGCAAATCATAACCACTATCTCTACAATGGGAACTCTCACAAATCTTTCCATTCAGAAATATCATTAAATGAAATTCACTTAAGCAAAACCAAACAGAAAGCCCCCTAACCCATACTCATTTTCCTTCTGTGATAGTTTCATGGTTTGATATTGGTCCTGAACCAATGTATATGTATTATATTTTAAAACAGAAATAACTATGAAATTTTCTTGTGATGGCTGCTTCTCCTAATAACACCGCCGGAGATTTCTCCTAACCTCTACAAAATCTGATGTTGTGGGGGTTTTTGTTTGGGTTTTTTTTGGCTTTTGTTTGGTTGTTTTGGTTTTTTTTGTTTGTTTTTTTTTAATTTATGTATTATTGTTTTTTTAAAATTTTTTTATTCTCCAAAACGTTTGTTTTGTTCTAAGAGACATGATGCACCAATTCTAAGCATAAGTAACCTGTTCAAAGCTGGACAGAACGCAGTGATATTTACTTCCTCTGACAAGATTTATGAATAAAATTCAAATAACAGCTCAGAAGAAATAATTAGCATTCCTGAAATACTAAGTAATTACATCAATTCATATCATGGCTGATCTAAGCATAGAAGATTTTAAAATACAATCAATCTAAATGATTAACTGACATACAAGTGAAACAGGAACAATCTTTGGAGAACTCCAGGTGTGTACAGGTCCTGCATCTTTATGTTTACAACTGAAAACTATATGCTTACTATTTTTATGACATACTTTATTTCTTCATCCTAAAATCAAATCTATTTTTTTTTTTAATTTGCAAAAATTTTAACAAATTTCTCATTTCCTACTCTGTGGGCATTTATATAAATTGATTTTATTCCAGTGACCTTGCCTGCCACATCTTGGTATCTTGTCTGATTTTAAGTTCATTGGCTCGGAAAATTATGTAGGTGTTGAAAGTTGTGTAAGACACAAGCCTCAATGTTTTTGGAATCTTTCATTTTAGGTAAATGGCAGACATCCACTCCGAGACAGCCATCACTGCAGATAAACGGTTACACCCCCCTCTCTCTTAGGGAAAAGGATCTCACTAAAAATCTTTTCTCTGTTACTTAGAAAATGTCTTCCTCTTTCCTTCTGATTATTTTTGTATCTTTCTCACATTCTCTTTTCAAAAGTCAGGCTTTAAAATTGTCAAGAAAACAAGAATATGTTGTTTGTTATTCTACTCCTTTTCTGCTCTAAAGACAATACTTTTTTCTCAGAGACAGAGAGAGTAGCAGAGGAAGAAATGGATCCTTAGCAATCTAAATGAACTCTAGATGTGGAATAAGCAGGATGGCATCCTTTTTAGATTTTTAAATCATGTCACATAAGTGTCTATTGTCCTTGAGTCTATTTCCTAGAATCTTTAGTAAAAGGCTACATTAAGCAAAAATTGCACTTTTGAAGGAAACAATATAGCTCAACATTAAGGTCCTTCCCTCCTTTTTCTATAAATTAGATAGATTTGTTTTCAATTTTTCTGAGAATTTTAATTTTGCTTTCCTGCATGTCTCTCTTGAATTCTTAACTCATAGAAGCATTATTCATCACACCTTGATTTTTGACAAGTTAATGCCACTCTTGCATTTATGGTTTGCTCTTATGTTCCTTTCCAGAGAAAACTCTGCCTAGAGGAGTAAGGCTAAGGTTTAGGTTTCCCAAGTGAATGAGTCACACTGAAAGTAATCTTTGGATATTTTGGTCATTCTCACCCTTTCTTCCAGTAAAAAGGAAAAAATACCCAAACCAGAAGTATTTTATTCCATAGGAAATTCTTCAGGTAAATCATACACGGATCTTAGCATCATTCTAATGTAAATTGTTACTGACAAGTCTGCATTATTTGTGCAAATGTTTTAGAAAGTTATCCTTGCTATTTGTAGTGTATTTTCACCCCAATCTTGGCAAATGCAACTCTTGAATTTCAGTTAATCTTTTGACCCAACAGACACTCTTAAATGAGATTCAATTAAGCAAGCACTGTAACTGCTCAGAAAAAGGACTGACTTGCCAACAAAGAGAGGTTATACTGGAATTATTGATAAACCGCACACCAACAATTCTCTTAAATCTTCAATAAAGCAGCACAGCAGTCAACAGGCTGACAAAAGTCCCTGTCTTATTCCTCACTTATCCACCTTCAGTAAAGTAACAGAATCTACAGTATTAGCAATTTAAAATAGGAGGGAAGAGAAGCTGAGCTCAGCTGGAGGAAGAAATTTTGGCTTCCATTTGGTTTTGATTTTCTTCACTGGCTGTTTTTCTGCACTTCATAAAAATATCATCATACTTCTTTCACATTACCAAATCAAATAAGCGTGCAGCAGGACTCTCTGAACGGGGTGTAAAATATACTGTTCATAATACTTCAGTATAGATACTAAAGGAAAAGATACAGAAGACCTCAAAGAAAAACCATCTCTGCTTTACTTCCTAGTAAATCTTTAATTTGTAGTGGTGACACTTTTTAGGGTAGCAGTAAGAGGTATTCATGATATCCAAAAGCATTTTATGCAACACTAAGAATAGAAACCAATACTTTACTATGATCCCTAACACTTACATTAACCTCCTGTTCCTGAATGTCTCCTTTAACAGGAGAGATTTGTTTCAAACAAAAAACCTCAATGGATATTAAAGACCACAGTATTAACATTCTTGTAAAGTACATAAATGGTCCATTTCCAAATGTTATTATTTTTTCTGGTTTCCAAAAAAACCCTGTTGCACAACTATACTTAGCAAAAACAGGACTTACACATTTTCAGATGCAATTTAATTGAAGATTTTAAATGTAAGAATTAAATGGAGATATTTACAGTTACTAAGTGAAAACAATGTTGTTCTTTAATATTTACTTGCTTCCTTTGGAAAGCTTTTAGTTCTCAGAAGTTCTTTGAGCACTGACTCAAAAAAGTCAAAAGTCTCCTTTTCAGAATCCATAAGAGGTGAAACCATTATCTTTATGATTTTATTGAAGGCAGTTCTCTTTATTTTAATCCCCGCTCCCAAATGCTCCATAAACACCTTTTATAAAATAAAACCATCTGTAATAAAATTTCTCATTTCCCCACTATGTCAGCACTTTTCTACAAAATCAGAAAAGTGAAGCTAGCTTGTCTTTCAAAAAATATTGTTCAATATTTAGCCAAAATTAATTATAAATGTATTAATGTATTTGTTCAGCTCTGAAAAAGTTTTAGACACACAAAATCAATTATTAGATAATTCTATAACAAGTAAGCTATGAATTTCCTGTTAAATTGGCCAAAAGAAAAAAAATCCTCTTCAAGAGTCAGTTAAGTCAAATGATTAAACATAGCTTCTCCTACCCATATCTTCCTGTTGAATCTAAAGAAAGAGTTATTTAACTGCAAATACAATTTGTATTCTTATTTATATTGTTACCAAGAAGCAAAAGTTACTTGGTCATCATAAAATTCCTAAGCCTAATGAAGCATATACCTAGCTATTATATTCAAACTATGAAAATGACATTGCTATCATACAAACATTTTTGCAAAATGAAAGCATTCTTATACTTACTTTTTATAATGGATGCTGAAATTTAAGTTACTGTTATTGAATACACTTTTTTATAAGCATAGAAAACATTTACAATCTATTTCTATATGATAATTTGGATGGAAACAATTTATATACTGAAAACTACAGAGACCATAGGATTTTAAGAACAGGTGAGTATTTCCACAGGGACACAATAAATTCAAATCTAACAACTCTCATAAAAATACCAGTTAATTGAATTCTGTTGCCTAGTATTCTTATAGTACTTGAATCTTTTGAAGATGCATTAAAACTACAAAACTAAAAGAACAGCAGTATCAAACAGGAATAACTTTTAGCCAAATGCCTGCTGCTGCTTTTATGACATTCCATATTTCATCATTATAGACTGGCTTAAAAACTTGTATTATTGCAGCGGTTTTAATAAGCAGAACTAAAGTAGTAGACTGTTGCCCACACATCACATAACACTAACATCAGTATACATTTCAGGTTTCTCACCTTGTCAATCATTTTACGGGCTTCCATTTCTTCAGAATTGGGATTTTCCAACTCAATAGTGTAAGTACCTTTGTCGCTCTGGTCATCCTCATTGTCCTTTTCAGTAGCAGCAGAAATATGTTGGCTTTTCAACTTTTTGTCCATCTCCTGGTTCTGACTAGGCCTATGGCCAAGGCTTCCTGAACTTCTTAACAATGCAGCTTGTAACACAGGTAATGCAGCAGAGGGTTCTTCTGATTTTTGTTTTAGAAGTTTTGCATGAACGCCATGGACTGCTCTGTGATGCAATGAGCTAGCTTGCACAGATGAAGGGACTGCTTTCTCTCCCGATGTAGGTTTCACTCTCTCAGCTCGTACAGGAGGTGTTGGAGATGGAGATTCTGGGCACAGAGCTCCTACATTCTGTGAAAAAGAGTAAGAACGTCTCTTTCGAGGATGGTCTTCATCAAAAAACTCAATCATAAAGGCAGTCTGACTCAAACTGGCTTGCTCTTGCTGCTTTTCTGTGGAATGGACTTTCTGGTGTGACTTTTTCAGCTCTGTATGATGATGCCGTAAGTGTTCTTCAAGTGCTGCCCGCTTATTGTAATGCCGGTGTGCACCAGCATTTTCTGAATCACTTTGTGTACCATCATCATGCTTATTCCCTACAAGCAAAGCAAAATAATATATAGCACAATGAAACAAACAAACAAAACCCCAACCCAACACATACAAAAGAAACTGGCAAACTAAGAAAGAAAGAATTTCAATTTGGTTTTCTGTTTAGACTCCAACAGCTTTCACGTACCTGGCTCTGCAACTTTTGTGCAGCTCCTGGTAATGCGTTCAACTTGGTATGAGTCAAACAATGAAACACTTTACAAGCTGATCTGTAACAGCAGTGCATTTGAATTACCCTTTTCACTAATATTCTCATCTGTGAATACTTATCAGTGACTTACAAGAGGCAGTATTTTACCAGCTGTACTATAGTACGTTTCTCAATTAAACAACTAATTTTGTTATACAGCCAGTTGATTACAAATGACTACTGAAACATTCTAGGCAGAGTTAAGAGGAAAAACAAAACCCTAAAGTAGTAGTTCTGGTAGCTGAAAATACCCATTGAGAAAATACCAATCACAGTTCATATTGTTGGATTCCTCACACATTTACAATAGTTTATCATGAGAAATGTCAACTGAAAATTGGAATTAATTCTTTAGTATTTTGAAGAAGTACAATGAGTTTTTCCATCATTTACTCCCCTCAGCATCTGATGTATGCATGTAAAATGGTTGTTATTACTTATTCATTCCACAAACTACTTAGAGATCTATGAATAAGGATTATGTATGTAACAAATCATATATATGTCTATAAAATATACTTCGTAATGATGCCTGAAAATGCATGGAAGGCTGGATACTCATACACAGTAAGTCACATTTAACACAGAGCAACTTCACGTACAATGAAAGTATCTACATTTTTAAGTTTTAGCTCAGCTCCTGGGAAGGAACAGTTTTACCTTCTTTGAACTCTTTTTGGATCAAGTCTTACTCATGTATAGAATGTACAAGTTGGGGTTTTTTTTTGTACTCAAGAGGAGATAGCTTATTTAAGGTTTTCTCACTTACATAGTCAGGATATGCAGCTACTATTCAGTTAAACAGTAATCGCATATTGGAAAACCTTACTTTTGTTAATAGCACTGAATACACAGCTGAAGTCCCAATTTACAAAAAAAATTTGTACAGTGCCTAAGAAAATGATGTGATGGTTTCTATACTTCCAAATAAAAACAATAAATATCAACATCACAGTGAAAGTCATATAACATAATTTCAGCAATGTGACTTCAGTACAGCATATTGTAATAAAAAGCTCAGGAGAAAACACAAAATTTATTTATTTTTTAAAACCAAAATTTCAAAGCGGATATGTATCTTCTCTACCTTTATGATTTGAAAAAGTACAAGTAATGAGTGAGAATACAAACAGATCACAGAAGATTAAAAAATTCAGGTATTTATTGTAGCCATATGGACCCCATAACTTACACCTCTCAGATGAAAATCAAAACTTTAGAGGAGTTTCTGCCAGGAAAAGGCTAAGGCCTTGTAAACAAAGCCTTTCCTATTTATCAAAGTGACATGGCTAATATTTTAAAGAATGTTCATGAATATAATACAGTATCATGAAGCCTAAAGAAAGCTCTGTGATATACTCTAGAAGAAATATTATGTTATTATCTTAATGCTAGCACATTGATATAATTCTGTTTTCAAAATTTTATTTTTAGCTTAATTTGGAAGAGTCAGCCTTAAAAAGCAGACTTTTGATCAGTAAGACAAAGCACGTTGTACCCAGTCCCAGCTGGTTTAAGAGCTAGATATGATAATGTTGCAGAATCAAGAAAAATGGGAATTGCTGAGTTAACCTGCTGAAATTAAAAACAGAAATAAGAGAGACTTGAAAAAGTTCTTCTGACCTTTTCATTCTCAAAGTTTGAATGTCACTGGAATCTTTTGTCTGACCATCAAAACTACTTTATTCTCTATTCTGCTAAGTGGCATCCAAAAGAAAGTACATTTTTCACACTTAATATTTGATTTGATTTTATTTGAAGTGTCACTGTCTGCAGTAAATGAATATGTATAATCACCTGGAACTCCATTCAACAACAGCATTCTTATCAGTACAGTATTCTGCAAGCTTAGTATAAAAATTGAAACTCTTGGTCTAATTGCAGATTCCTGACTCAAACCCAACTCCATCATACATGATCGATTTAGGCAGAATAACTGCAGGTTGTCTTCTTTGCCATAAATGATTTTCTCAGAGCACATGAATATTCACAGAACATATGCTATTGGAAGAGTTGCTAAAAGCATAATTTGAACTTCAGAGCTTTGATTCTAAAAAGCAATTCAGCTTTTTGAAGTAATGCATGGGAAAAAGTGAAACATAAAATTTAAGTAAGGTTTTGGTTTTTTCCTTTTCCCTTTCACGATCAATGTTTTAAATATCTGATGTTTGCAGCTGTACTAGAATATCTCCAATTAGTATACTTACTGTAAGATGATTTAGGATTTGGTTTCCTATCCTCTTTTTAAGACTTAACACTGCAATAAAATTTCCCAGCACAGATCCTTGCGCGCATGTGGAGCATCTGTGATTTCAAATGAACTCCCCAAGGGCTCAGGGATCCACTCACTGGATGCTGGTGAGGAATCGTTGCTTTCAGAAATAAACATAGCTGGAATTATACACTTTACCTTTCAGTCTCTTCAAGTACACTGGAACGTCACTCTTAATACTTTTGGAATCCTCCTCTGTTGGTTCCCATATCATTCTAGGAGGATTGTTCTGTGCTAGCCAATCTGCTACTTTGCTCTCTGCGGCCATCATCACCGTTTGAAGCCCAGGCAGGTCCTGGCCACTGGAGGAAGAAGGTTTTTTTGACTTGTGACGCTGTTCCGATGTGAATTTTGTCACGTGATCTTTGATTGTTACTTTTCCTGGAGTGTTGTCATCAAATTCAATGGTAAAGGAAGCATGCCCTGCACCCGCTGCATGGGAGCTTTGGGTGTCTTTTGTTGGAATTTCATGAATAGTGCTCTCTGCTACCTGTGAAGGTTGCTGGAATTCTTTTGTAGGGATTTCAAAATAACTTGGCTCCCTACAGAAAGGATAAAGTTCTTCACTTGCAGCTGCAGATTGCTCCTCAGCTTGCTTGGCATCTGTGCTGCATCCTATTAAGAAAAATAAAAAATAGATTTCACAATACTTGGGAACTTCAGGTTCTTCAAGAAGTTTCCGAACTCCTGTAAAGGCCATTTGACTAATTTCTGGAATAAACAGTAAGATTGTGGGGAAGATTGAGCAACACAGTTCTGGAAAAATAATTCCAGAATTACATATAAAATGTATTACTGAAAAGATAGCACGAGCTTTGACTGTAATGAGTATAAAGTGGCAAAAAGCTCACTTAGAATTTGTAAAAGGAAATTTGCATTCCAAAAATTTTTAGATGATGTAAAGGTCAGATGAGTTATTAGCACATGGAAAACAGGTAAATCACATTAGAGAAATAGTTGAGATGATCATCACTGCAATTCCAGTCTATCAGAAAAACATCAAATCAAGGTGCCCCCAAAACAAGTGCTAGTGATCTGGCTTTCATCTCCTGCAGTGGATAGCTGGTATAATTTTGTTTGGTAAAATTCTTTGGAAAAACATTTCACACATTCACGCAAGATAAACATTAATTCTGGCTTGAAAAGTTTAACACTGATAAGCATTGGAAAGTGTTTTGGAATTCAAACACTTCAAGTTTCTACAAAAGATAAACCCAAAGAATCAAGCTAAATCCTACTGTCATCTGCTCTTATTTTGTTTCCGTAATTTGTAGATGAACAGAAGAAGTATCAATAGCTGGAAGCATGCAGAATGTTTCCAAACCATGATCTAACTGGGTTAAGAAAGCAGAATGTGGAAAAAGCACAGGGTAGTAATTGAAAGTCCCATTGTATAGCCTGAATGAAGGTTAAAGTTTCTTGTGGTTGCAGCAAAGTTACCAATGTGCCTTTAAGAAAACAAACCTGGTTGCATTTCATGAACTAGTAAGCTAGCCAATATATCAGGTATAGAGATGTGCTATAAGTAACAGATGCTTGAGATGTTAGCAGCAATGGCAAGATACATTCCAGCAAAAGAATTCTGAATAGCTCCTATGTGATTTATCATGAACCACATTAAGATGTTTAAGAAATCATTTTAGGTTGCCCAGTAAAGGAATAAGAATGCAATTAATAGATTTCTGGTGCTAAAAATAGCCACATGATATCAGCTGAGACAGTTAACATTTGTCTATGAAACTATTATGCAATAAGGTAGCCACAGAAACATTTATACTGGAGTCAGGAGTTTAAGGGGTAAAGGATGCAGGACAGCATAATGCACCTATGCTGTTCTGTACAAACACATGCTTCTTGTGAAGATTTAGGAAAAAGTTAAAAATTACAAAAGAAAAACGGATGGCAATTTGATACAGATAAATAGAATTAATCAAGGGACAGTATAACAGCTGCAAAAGTTAAAAAAAGAATGATGTTATGGAGCAACAACAAAAATAATACACATTCTTTATTATTGCCATGCTTGGACACCAACAGGATAAAATAACTTTGATGCAGGTAACACAACTATTTTAATTTATTTTAAGTAAAAGTAGCTGTTTCAAACGCAAAAGATGTTCAGAATACAGACACTTTTTATATTGCGCTGTTGCATTCCAAGAATACCCTAGCTAATGCTTTTCACTGCACTGTCAGCTACCTCATCTCTGTGGGGTAGTTTTCAGGCACTACAACAGCAGCTCGCTGCTCCCCTCCATGGGAAACAGAATGCCTTTTCAGTCCCCTTCCTGAAAACACTTATGCCAGCAGACAAACCATGTAGAATGAATCTATTTTACTGATGTAAAGGTCATTAAAACAGCTTCTATGTTTAGACGGAAAATGTACAGAAATAAACAAAAGCACTTTGCAGCTGCTAGATTTTAGGTAAACTACCATCACTCTCTGTTTCATCCAGCTAACAAGCTCTAGTAGGATCAAATCTAGATCCAAGATCCTTACAGTATGCACCACTGTTACGGAACAGAAAAATAATCCACCAGGGAGCCTGTTCATACAAACCTTTATTTTTTCCCTATGGTTCTATTCAGAAGAGCTCCAAGCCTACAATTTCATGCAATTTCTGTAACCAATAATTAAGCAAGATATAGTGTTCAATGCTCCTTCAAAAGATAACTGGCTAATACAGCACATTTTGAGATATATTTCCTTTTTCGGGCCAGGCAAGAGCAATCTACTGGCCACACAAAAAATAATATTTTTCAGTAAATATGAAATAACTGGTTTATCATCATCTTTTGAAAATTGTAAGATTATAGTCAAACTGCATCAGATGTATGGTAGGCTTAGGATCTATAAGATTGGCTTGTCAGCATTGACGGACAATTTCATAAAAAAAATTTTCCCTGTGAAACTTGCCTGCATGAAATTTAACATTTGAAATCAACTGTTTATACTGCAATGATATGCACAGTATTTGATTCTAATATGTTTGATTAAACAGATGCAATAATATTGTTTGAATCTAAATTATGACAGAGTTTAATCAAAAGAAGTGAGAAACTGAACTACAACTAAATTGTGATTTTTTCTAAACTAGAAAAATTCTTAGAAAGGATATAATGAAAAATACCTGAAGTACAAGTTAATAGTAATTACTTAAAAATTCTATTTTCAGCCTGAAGTCCTTACATTTTTAGAAGAGTTAAATACATCAAAATTGATTAGAATAAGGAATTGAAAACAATGAGGAAACAAAAACTTCATATAGATCCTGATCTGAACCACCCTTCTGAATTTTTCACCCAAATGATCAATGCAAATTCTTACAGCTTTCTAAATATTACAAAGAGTGATCTATAAAACAGCCTTACCTTTGAGATCCTATTATAAAAAGTCATCTGCTGAGATGAAGGAAATTATGCATCAGACTAAATACAGATAGCTTTAAGAGAAAAGCCTTGAGCGAATACTGAAGATAGTGGTCATCACAGGTCTATAATTTTTAAACAGTACAAGCATAGTATCTGTACAGCAAAAAGGGCAATTGTGTGGAATTGAAAGTGTTACTTGGGAAAATGAGAGGATAGATGAGTTGTGAACTGGCAGAGTGAAAGGAAAAGGGGCGGAAAAAGAACCAGGGTATCTGTAAAGAAGGAGCTCTCATTCTAGAATGATCTAGCACTACAAAAGACAACTGTGCAACAGTTTCTACAAGGCAAGTAAGGAAGTAATAACTGTAGCTGCTACCCAGGTGTAGTGAGACCATTAATGAAATACTGAGTCTAGGAAAGGCTAAGAGGGAAACTACGTTATATTTGGGAAATCACAGTCTTAACCAAATGGCAATTGAGGGAGATTCTTTACTAGAATAACCTCAGAGATGATCATCAGAAAAGTAACATTTGCTTTTTGTTTTTTGTTTTTTTTTTTTTTTTTAATTTCTTAAGTTACACAAATAGTCAGAATCTTAAAACTTTACTTGCCAACCTGGACAAGAAATGTCACAGGCGTTCTGTGCTATTCAACACAATCTATCAGATATGCAAGAAATTGCCTGTGTATACGAATGTATTATCATCTGCAAAGATAGAAGGAAACCTCAGAAAATACTTTGCACAGTCTTCAGATTTTTTAGAAATTTTCTTTTATTTTCTGCTTTAAAAATCTAATTTTAAGAATAAAACTTATAAAAGAAAATTATCTGGAATTTAAAAAGCACATCTTGAAAAAAGGCCTGCAAACCTGGAGCAAAATATTTATATGCAGAAGGTATAAGAAACAGCCAAAATATCATACATACACAATACCCCAAAATATTTTTTATATGTTAGCTTTATATTTAGTATTGTGCAATGATACGTTTAATGAACAGCAGCTGAAGTCAGTGCTTTCAAACGCTCAAGAGCATTTCTTTTTTTCCCTTTCTCCTTCTCTCCATACTACCACTTTTTAGTTCCCACTCACCTTTTAGGTTCTTTTTTTGCTTTATGGCTGAAGCATATTTTTCATTTGTTTTTTAAAGACAAGATTGCAAAAAATACATGTAATGATTCACGCAGTATTAAATAAGATCTTTGTCTTTTAATGTTGTCATAACATCTGATGAAATAATATCAAAATTACTAATTCTAAATAAAAGTATAAAATAGTATTGTATAAAAATCCCCACCACTCATAATATATCATTTAACTGCATGCTTTAAAGGAGTAAAAGTGAAAAAAGTGCAAAATTAATCTTACTTAAATATACTGCTGTGACGGCTCTGAAAAGTTCTGTAAGGTCCCTGTGACATACCATGCACATTTGCTGCTGTAGCTTTGCAAAGCAAGCCTTACAATGCAGCACTTGTATGGATTCCGGGCCAACACTCCACAAAATTCTAGACCAAACTTCTACGAATGTTAACGTTAATATTAGTGATTAAACATGCATGTGTAATCTCCTACACATACTGATTACATTGGAATTTCTAAAATAAGTCAGTCTGTTTTACCTTAAAATGACACTGTTTCTTAAATGTAAGGAACATTTAATCTGATATATTGTTATGCAATGCTGGAATTAAAAACTATTTCATGCTAAATGGAAAAAAAATATTTCATACTCTTAAAGCCTGTTTAAAAATTGACTTCTGTTTTTTCTTAGATTTCTGGTAAAGGCATTAATGATGTAAAATTCTACAACTACTCCTGATATCTGCAGAGAATGGAGTTTTTGCTTTTACAGGAATAGCATAATGCATGGCAATAATAATTACACACCTGATAAACTTGCCAATAACATGTAAGTTTAACAGCTGCAGCTTAGATAAAGTCACACCATAGGTGTATATGCAACTGTTCATTTTAATACAGACTAGTAGATCTACGGATCATTAAATTGGAGCAACATGCATGTCTGAAACAAGCAGAAAAGTTTTTTCTTTTTAAAGTTTTCCAGACTATTCTGCTCTGTTAGCAAATAATTTCCATTAGTGAGTTTCCATTGTGATAGAAAGACAGTAACATTGAAATAATCTTATTAACTCAAGACTGTAAAGACTAATTGTCTATAGTTGTCTTAGCAGAAACAAATCTCCCATTTCAATCTCCTCATTAAACCTGGCCCCATCTGCTATAATTCATGCCTTCTTTTCTATTCAGTGAATAATCATGTACCAAATCATTAAAGCATGAAGTAGATTCTTCACAGGATTCATCTGTTAAAATGAGAACAGGCTTTATCAATTTGAGTTACTGAAAATAAAAGTTTAAGAACTTATGTATGTGAATTCACCTGTAACGTACTTACTTTTAGGCAGTTAATATAAAGAAGCACACTCCAAATCGGTGTTTTAAATACTTAATACAATTTAGCCCATGAAAGAACAAGTAACTACATCAATCTTGAACCTTTTTTTATTAAAGTTCAGTTTTATTTTAAAAATATCCAAACATGGCAGTCTTGTAAAGTTTCCAATTTCCTTTTATTAAAGTGTTACTTTATATTGATTTCTAATCATTATATTAATCTACGTTATGAAACCTAAGCGCATGAAGAAAACACATTAAGTTAATTTTCAACAAGTTAGTATTTTCATGGAATGTAACTGTAGGCCGAAGGAGCCCAAAAAGCTTATGCCTCCATTTTGTAATTGTATGAAAACATTCAGGATGGTTTTTTTTACACTTCTACAGAGACATAGAGTTAGTGTTCTGAGATTGAGGAAAAGTGTCCATAGAGGCAAATGTAACTCTTATCTGATCTGTTTCCTCAGACTGCCAACACTACTGAAAAACATCTACAACAGTCAAAAACCAGACTAGTAAAACATACGAATGTCTACTCAGAGATTAATTAATCAAGATAACTAAATCACTTGTCTATACAAGGAATTTTCATTCCATATCCTCCCAAATTAGATTGTTTTGCAAAAATGTCAGGTTTTGGCTTTTTCCCAGCAACGTCTTCCTATAACATTTCATATAAGCTTTTGTTTAGATTGTGCTTATTCAAACCAATTTCCATTCTTGCAGATTTCTTTGTCTTTCAGTTTGAGGAAATAGAAGCTATTCCTACACTCTACTCATTCTATTCATGATTAAACAACAACATAAAGAAAAGGGATTTCTAACATATGCTGTACATTTTAAAAAAAAAGAAATCTATTTGCCAAGAAGGCACTGGGCCCAAATTTTGTTTTTATACATAGTGTATATATAGGGAAAACAAACAAAATCCATTAAACACTGTAGAAAATACTGGTCCATTTCTTCTACTCATCATTTACCTTATGATGACTTCAACTAAGGCAAAGCATGTCAAAAACATACCCATTACTGGAGTTCTGTCTAGAACAAACTTAATTTTGTCTACTACTGAAACAGATTGCAACTTCTTGATTAGTATGAGAGGAAGTTGGAGTCTTATTTTTCTTTAAACTCAGGAACTAAGACAGAAGCACTGATCACTTTCTGAAAAATCTCTTGGTAAAATAAATACAAGACCATGTAAACCATTTGATGCAAAATTGCTTCTGAAAAAGCAATTTAAATTTATGAAAAAATAAGAATAGGCATGCTACTAAATAGAAGCTGGAATTTTGTGTTGTCTTGTTAATGGCATGACATCAAAATCACAGACTTCAGGATATTACTTTTTGATAATCCTGTATTTAATGAGGGTAAATAATGTGCATGTTTTTAAAATTAAAACAATGTAGACAGATACATCTAAGTATAAAAAGCTTGCCGAATTCACATTTTTATTATATTAGTTTGCTACAGACATTGGCATCTAAGGAATAAAAACACAAATACTAGCGACTTTACCATCTGTGTTTTGGCATATACAGCAAGATAGAGAGTCACAGGTTTCATAGCCAATAGTTAATGCTTCCTGTAATCTGGAAAGCAAGAAGAATCATATGGCTAGCAAGTCTATCAGTGGCATGAGTTGAAGGTAAGGACTTAATTCTTTTTCTTTGTACCTGATGACATACATGCTTTTCCTTTTTCTTGAGAAAAATGGAAGTGGAACACCATCTAACAGTCATTGCCTCTCATTATTACTGCCATTAGGAACAAAATTTGTATTCCTTACAAATGCTTAAAACTGCTTGAAGAACACATTTCTAGACAAGATTTGAACTGTAGAATTATAGATTACTAATGTAGAATATAAACCTTGTACTTAAAAAGCCTCCATAGGAGCACACAATAGCATATTCTACTCATGCTGCTTATGGTAGAAAAATTTTTCACCAAAAAACCCAATCAAATAATGAAGTGTTCTATAACTGCACTGCATTATGATGCAGTTCTTTTATATGCAACAAAGTTGTTTAAGTTGCACAAAAACTGTCACCAATTGAAATGTTTTCACCTAGTTTCTTTTTACTAGTCCAAACCTTAAGGGACTTACTCTACTGTCTGAGCTGTGACAACTTTAGACTAATATGAAAAAGGTCATGAAAGGCTATGGCAAAAAGTTAATTCCAAAGACGTTGACTTCATTACGTTGAAGTGCTCGTTTATATTTTACATGTTTTTAGTTTACTCCAATTCCTGCAAAATAGAATTCATGATAACCAAGGTAACTACTATTACAAGAAGAGAGAAATTCCCACTTCAGTTAAAGTACCTTTAAAATTTGCAAACGTTAAACTTTTGGGCCTTAAATGCATGTTTAAATAGTTAAACAAACAGCTAAATTTTGTCCTAACTTGAGCAAGTTTTAAGGTTATTCTGCCATTTTATTTATATGCCTGAAGATAGATTTAGAAGCCTAATTATAGACATTGAGATTTAAGTTTTGGCAATACATACTGCGTATAGACAAGCTAACTAAAAAAACCAAAATCTGTATTATGGGGAAATAAACATTACCAGTTCAACTTCAGACCACACAAATCTTTACTGCAAGAACTATGACATATAATTTCCACTAATGCAGCATTACTGAATTACAGGAGAGAATGTTAGCATAGATCACCTTATATAGCTAAAAGTTGAATACAAAATAATATAGCACCATTTATTTTCAGAAATTACTTTGATAAAATATCCCTATCCAATCTCTAATTTTGAGCATATAAAATGACAGATATAGATTAAATTGATAAATAAGACACACTGGTTCAGGTAACATTATTTTCTATATTTACTGATAACAAATTATATTATATAATGGAAAACTGATACATTATAAATGAAATCGGTCTCTGGAAATACATAGTTTCTCACAGAGTAAATTTTTTAAGCTAACTTAGTTTTAATAGGCTTTCATCTATGCAAACTGTCCATGAAACTTCCAAACGTTACTGTCTGTTTAGTTTCCTAGTTAAGAATATATGTACTTTACTAAAGAGCACAAACTCTACAAAAATAAGACAACAGACTTACCTGAAGCCCCCGTCTCATGCATTTTTTCTTCATGCTTGCTATCTGGCTTACAACCACTTTTTTCATCAGCTTCATCATCACCCCACCAGGCTGGCTGTCCATACAAAGGTGTCCCACGAGGCATGGCAGAAAGATCTATAAAATCAGCCCAAAGCAGAGGAGATTACTCTTCTGTTTAGTTGTGATATTTAGGTTAAAATAACATGAAGAGAGAGTCATTTGCTTAGATCATTTCTCCTGCAAGCTAAAGTGAATTGGTCGCATGCATTTGCCAAAATACAAAGCAAACTTGGAGGCTGGATAACTGATCTGGGTTCTAAATATAAAAGCTTACTAATGACCTGATCAAAACTTCTGGCACAAATGTTTATGTAAAGGCAGCTGACATCTCTTATTGTTACCCTGATATATTTGTAAACATTATTTTCTGCTTTCAGTTTAAAGTCATCAGCATAGCAGTACATTCCTAAAAGCTATCTGCTGCTATTTCTGTGAGAAGATTCTCACTTTTACCCACATTGACCTTTCAATGAAATCTGAACTCACTGCATGAAAAACTGATCAAATTTTGCAATGTTGTCAAGGTTCCAAATTGCTGACAGCTACTACAGAGTGCTGAAGGTTACCTTGTGTAAAACATTACACAACCACATTTAAATATTTTTTAAAAGCAATAGTTGAATTACAGTACAATTAAAAATGCTATTTCTTATATAGGATGTATACACATGATTAAACACACTTAAACATAAAGATTAAGTAAGAAAAAACATACTGATATAATTAAGATCTCTACCTTGATGATAAATTGACTGGATTAGTTTTGACCTGATCTCTTAGGAGAATACTTCACCCTACTGAGATTTAGCTATTCTAGTATCACCCAGATGTTCTGAAGATACTTTAAACAGTCTTTATACACAGTTCTTCTGCAAGCCCTGCACTGAAGTTAAGACACCCACAGCAAAGCCACCATGGCACATTACATGAATATGAAAGATGATGTGGAAACAAGACCGAAGCTACAATTTCTACAAATTTTTAAAGCACAATAGAACACTTAGGTTCTATCCTGATGCATCTAACAATGCAAACAAACAAACAAAACCTCCACTAGTTTAAAAAGAAATAAAGAGTGCACTTGACAATGTAAAAAATACAAACTGTTACTGAACAAATATTTTCAGTTAAACTGCAAAAAATAGCAACTTTCCTGCCACAAATGCTGAAAACTTGTGATTTTGGGAAATAAAAAAATCTGATAAATGCTGATTAAATGTCCCTTTATGAGTTTTCTTAACATGGGGATATTACAATAAAAAAGCAGAAATTCAATTCTGAAAGTTATTAATTAATTACACTTAAAGTATGTTTGAAATTTCACATACATGGAGGTTTTACTATCTATATAATTACCCAAGCATCCAAGCAAAGCAAATAAATATCCTTTCAAAGTCTGTGTGCTTCTGCAGCAAAAATGAACCTTACCCATTGATTTCTCCTCAGATTTCAGTGCTTCTGTAGTTTTGTGGTGCACTTCAGCTGGGGAGTCTGTTACCTTGGACTCTGAGCTTTTGGAGCTGGTTTGCTTCGACCCTTCTGCCTCTGAAGATTTTTGGGATAACTGGAGTTGGCTTGTGAATTTTTCATGCTACATGACATTAAATGGAGAAAAAAACACCCTCAAAGCGTGAAAAAAAAACCCCCTATGTTACCAATAACTACGTAATGACAGAACATCATCTAGGAACTGCATGTCGTTACCTTAAGTGCTTCTTCAGGGACTCTCATCTCTCCCCTGACGACAGTAAAAAGATTAGTATGTAGGAAATGATAAGGAAAATAGCGGAAAGATTTCTCAATTCACAAATGGAATTTACAGAACAGCAACAGTTCTACAGTCTATTCTGCCATTGGAATGGTGACACTTGTTCTAAAAATATGTCACTGTTAGGACTAGCAGGTACAATCATACTCATCAAAGCAAATGCACAATACAATTATTTATTATTTGTACACAGAATATTGAGTAGATGCCTTAATACTGTAATAATACAAGTTCTTTCTTTTTCCTTTTGGTAGTTTGCTGAGTAATTTTCTCTACTTGTATACAATCTCATACGATACAAATCTTTGTGTATTTACCTCCAAGAAAAGTAATGTTTCTTAGCAACACAGAAGTTACGCATTAGGTTTTAAATAGTAATTTCTCTAATACAGGCATTTTTGTAGTAATAAGAGAAATAAATATTTTCAAAGTTGCTTCTCAAATAGTATGAGAACTCTTTATTTAACACAATCATACTTTTACAGCAAGAAAAGTGTGTCAGGGCATTGTGCATTTTTATGACAAGGATATCATATCCAAATCTCAATTTATCTTCCAACTTCAGAGTGATGTATGTTTGTTCTGGAATCCTCACATCATTCACAAATGTCTACAAAAATAAATGAGGACAGAAGGAGATACTGTTAAATTCTAAGATAATAAAAGAACAAATCACTTAACTAATTTTATAAGAAAGTTTTCAGCACTGCAAATTTTCTACTGGCCATTCACCAGGGAATTAAGCTATAAGCTCAAATTCCCTCTGCTTCACAAAATATCTCAAAAGAAAGGTTAAACACCAGTTGCTAACCAGGCTGCTGATACCACACTAGCCTTGAAATTTCTTAGAAGTTTAGCAGTATTTACCGAATTATTGATTAATGTTCCCTCAACTTAGCACCTCCACTCATTATTTTTCTTGTAGGTTGCTTTTTCAAACCCAATTAGCCGTCAGAATTGATTTATCATCACATTTGTACAGCATTTAACATTGAATATGAGAGTTCTGAGGTAGCTTATCATCTCTAAACATTGTCAAAGGACTTACAGGAAAAATGGACCAAGTTAGTGCATCCAAGTAACTCCACATAGCAGTGATAAAGAATTCAATATATTCCGACTCTTGAAAAAGTAGGTGTAACAACATTTGTAAGCAGAAATAACATTATTATACCCGCTAGCAGCAAAGCAGAGCAAATTGCATAGGCTTGACAATACCTTTTGAAAATTCAGTCACTGTACAATCAGTTATCCTCTCCCGTTGGACACATAGTTGGAGAAATCAGACAAGCTTTCAGAGATTTGGAGAAATATTTACGTACCTGAAAGTTCGCCCAATTTCACTAGCCATATCAGCTGGTGAAATATCAGTACAGATTACCAATAACTCTGATTTCAAGGTCCAGATTAAACCTAACAGCGAAAAGTAACAAGGAATTTGCAAAAACATGCTGGTATAAATTTCCTGATAACACCTGAGATACATACAATGATGTTCTAGTTTTGGCTGGGATAGTTAATTTTCTTTCCGGTAGCTGGTGTAGTGCTGTGTTTTGGATTTAGAATGAGGATAACATTGATAACACATTGATGTTTTTAGTTGTTGCTAGGTAGTTGTAGTGCTTACCCTAAGTCAAGGATTTTTCAGCTTCTCATGCCCTGCCAGGTGCACCAGAAGCTGGGAGAGGACAGCCAGGACAGCTGGCCCAGACTGGCCAAAGGAATATTCCCTACCATATAATGTCATGCTCCGGACATAAGTGTGGAGGCTAGCCGGGAAGCAGGATCGCTGCTCAGAAACAGATCAGGCACCAGTTTTTTTCTACATGTGGTGAGCAATTGCATTTATGCACCACTTGCTCTATATATATGGTTGTTATTCTCTTCCTTTGTTATCCTATTAAATTGTCTTTATCTCAGCCCATTAGGGTTTTTTTTTCCCCATTCTCTTCCTCATCCCCTTGAGGGGAAGGGGTGAGCGAGCAGCTGTGAGTAACTGTGCTCAGTTAGTTGCTGGGGTTAAACCACAACAAATGACCAATTACAGAATCAGCAAGGAGGAAGAACAATACATGTTCAAGTCAAAATGGACCTCAGAGATATAATTTGGAAGAGCTGGAAAACAATTTCATCTCTGGGGGGAAAAAATTTAACATACATAAGGCTTGAAGTTAGATTATTCAAGCCCTGAAGAAAATTCTAGAAAGTCACCTACATAAAATTCTAAAACAGACATGAACCCTTGTATGTAAAGTAAAGTAAGAACCAGGGCAGGAGGCAAAAGTGTATTCATTTATTGGAACTGATCTGCATCTTCAGAAGGTAGGCTGTCAGCTGCAAGCAAACTGCCCATGTTACTAACATCAACAATTTGCATGTGGTCACTTCAGATACCAGAAACCAAGCATGCTAACAGGCTAAGGCAGGACTGAGCATCAGGAACTGAGAGTGTTCTTCTCACAACTTGCCCTTTTGCCATTGGAGGGAATCATTAAACCTTCAGGTACAGACTTCTCCCAGAACCTGCCACCTCCCACCTGACAGCTCTCAAATTGACCCTCCTGCTTATCCCAAGTCGTACACTGCTCTTAAAACTCTCCTTATTAGGCTGCATCTCTAACTGGGAAAGTGAACTGTTTCTTAAAACTGAATTTGTTACCTTCAGAGAAAGCTCTATATTGTGTCACTATCTTCTGAATTCACTGACAGAGAAATATAAAAGGGTGAAGACATGTTTTGCCTAGCAGAATAGAATATTAAGCTCTCTATTAAAAAAACTGGAGATCAGGCTACAAAGAAAAAAAAAAACAGTAAATGTAACTCTGCATAATATTTAAGACACTTTCAGAGTTAAAGATCCTTGAAGAATCTTTCTACAGTATGAGCTGACAAAAACCTTCTGCACAGCATCTTGCCTTAAACTACTCCTCAAGACTCAATTCAAATCTGCTTTAAGAAGCTAGAATTTACACTCTTAAGTTCCTCTCTCCTACATTCTCCCCTGGCTTTCTTGAAATCCTCCCTCTCCTTTTACCTGAGAAGACTGTAACATTTGGACTTACAAGAATGTACCATCTTCCTTGTAAAAAATGTGAATAATCAGCTATATGTGAAAAGTCTCTTGTTCCTTGGTGTTACTTTCTTCATCTGCTTTTAAAATCCAAAATGAAGCTTTAATTTAGGGCAAATTCAAGGCAAATTAAACATTTACGGATTAGCTGTTATGAGACTGTTGCATTATTTTATGAATTATTTATCAGTTGTATATTTTCCCATGCCTTAAAAAACTTACAGCTTCTTGCTCATTTTTACTTTACATAACAGCTACATTTTCATACTAGAGATAGATTAAATATCCAGGGCGCCTTTCTGAAACACATTTATTACTGGTTTGTGCCAGTTTTGGGGACTCAGAATATCACAACCCCACAGGATCACCCTACTTCAAGCTTAAGAGTTCTACAAAAACATGTACATGTTTCTAAGGAATACAGCAGCTGAACTATGCCAATTTTTAAGCACTTTGAAGCTAGGGACACACACACACAAATTTTGAATAATTAAGCCAAGAATCTGAATCTTTGAATGCTTGTGTTGCTCATCTGAATCTAATATTAGATGAAGTCTGGAAAGACAGAAACGATGTCCTTTCCCCAAAACAGTAAAGGGATCTTCTGTTTTCTTTTCTTTTTCTAAATGAATATAATGTTTCTTTCATTATTATAAAAATTGCTTACCTACTTCATAGAAAATTTGCATAAGAAATAAGAATTAAAGGTACAACTATTTACTGATTTGTAAGCACGAAACTTTGAGTGATGTTTAATGCATATTTACTCCACTTTAACATTATGACAGTCCAGAACAAAAAACCCATGAAGACTATCCTCAAGGCATCTTGAATTTCAGTGAATCACTGAAATTTAGGATGCTTTGTGGACACATATGTATATATGTACATATGCATTTTTCCTCCACAGTCAGAGTTCTGAAATGCACGTGCATGTAGTATATTCAACCCAGAGAACTCTAAAGGCAGTGTGTGCAGTCCACAGACATCCTCATGATCGAACTGATGGCATACAACCACCAAGTTGCTTTGCCACTGGAGTTTTAAAATCCCACCACAGGCTTTGGGATGCAAGACAAAGCTAGCTTGAAAAAGCTAGTTACTGTGTAAATAAGAAATTATTTTCCTTCTTTAAATCATTCTATACACATTTTTATATATTCATATGATTTCCAAAGCTTTATTCTTCAAATAGCGAGAGTCAGCTCTCTCTAAGCCTTCACAAAGTTTGCTGACCATTTTGCAATCCAGTCCTAAAACATCACTGTGAAAGGACTTCATTATCCTCTAAATAACCCTGAGAAGAATGTTATTCAACAGGGCCATGGATGTTTGATAAATTTTCTAGTATGTTTTTGAGGTCACATGTCGAAGGAGAAAATACAGTTGAATTCTGTTGATACTGGTGAAAGAATAGATTATATCTTAGCAACTGTACACATTTTCTTCAGAAAAAATTCCTTAGTCTTTTTTTGTGTGAAATGAGATAAGGAGGAACAACCAGGAGTCATCATGATGGATTATTTGAAATAAAACTTTACATCATGTAAATCTGACTAAAATTTACTTTTGCTTTATTTTCAAATCTAGATGTATGAAGTCCAGGATGAAGACCGCTAACTTTTTCACTGAACTGAGTGTGGATCAACCATACAGATAAGAATATTCAGGCATTAGGTGCAATTATGGTTCATCTCCTGAAAGTATTTGGGACTCATAAAATTCAAAAGAAAAGCCCTATGTATTGGTAGTAGCCATCTCCCCTTAAACTCTGAATTATCTTGAGTGGTTGAAGTGCATTACACCAGGAATGGAACAGTCCCGTATACTAAGTAAAGTATACATCTGTTCTCCAAAGAAATGGGACTAACTGGGGAGATTCAAGATAAATGTTTGCTCTTGATGAAGCAAGCAAAGTAAGAATGGGTAGAAGCTGATGAAGCACTACAAGAGGAACTTGGCTGTCAGGGAGGTGGTATTCTCAGTGGAAATAGTAGCTAGACTAAAAGAATTATTGCCTAGTTAGTTAGTAGTTCACTGCACGGTACAGAGACATTGCATATATTGTTCTCCACACAATTAACTACGGTGTTACAAATTACGTGTTTCCTCTTTCAACTTGAAACCAGGTAGGTAGAGGTATGTAAGAAAAGCACAGTCAAAAAGAGATCATAAGGGAAGCACTATGAAGACAAAGAGCAAGGACTGAACTCCTAAAACTTAATGTTCCCTGTCCCAAAACTGTGGGAAGAAAGAGTTCCTTTGATGTCTCTGGGTAAACAGCTATAGAGCAACTGACAACTCAAACCTGAGAATGAATGAGATCAAGCGAAGCAAATAACTAAAAGCTCTTTATCAGAGGCAAAGAAAGGTGCTGAATGAAGGCCTTTGAACATATATTTTTATTAAAATTCAAGTTTTGTGACAAGGCAACGAAAATCTGAAGATATGCCTATTGACTGCAGAAGTAACATAGAATTAGGGAATAAAATCAAATGGCTCAGCAAAAAATTACTATGCGCTGAATTAATTTTTATTCACTGCCTTGAAACAGTGCATTGACTCTCAAAATATAGAGGTATATCAAATATTTAAGGAGCAAAGTTCTTATTCTTCTACAACTGTTCAAAGAATAAAACTCTTCAGGTTACATTGGTTTCATATGGAGTTGAGACTCTGACTTTTTGGAACGCTAAGTTAGTTACCCTGAAATACAGAAAAGTTAATAGAGAGAGACTAACAGAGTTTTTATTTTGAAATGCACTTCAAGATCAAACACCAAAACCTAAATCAATGCTAAAGGCAGTAACTTGAGATCTCTTCTTCATCTTCTATTTTTTTAAACATTTGACAAAGCTATTCACTACCTGTAACTTTCTCAATATTAATTCAAATAAGCAATCACAGATGAAGTTATGGTTTTACTCTGTACACATTCATGACACAGCCAAACATATAAAGTTACATAAAATAACAACCATAACTATAAACAGCTCAAAGTAATATCTAAAGGGCTACAAAAATATGACAGTTACTGGGTTAATAATTTATTGTAATATTCAAAACATTTATAAAAGGTGAAGCTTACCTAGAATGTTATATATGCTATTCCTAGAGAAGTCTTAAAACATGAAATGTCATATGAAACTTTATTTTGTTCATAATTTTGCATTTTTCCTGTATTAGTTTCTAATAACACTTAAACATTATTCATAGACATTTTGACAAAAAGGATACTGAAAAACTAAATGCAAATATAGAATTAAATTGGTTTACATACAACATGGCTATTGCAGAACATACTTTTTTCCCATATATGAAGCACAGTTTAACATTCCTTTCTGTATGAAAAAAGGAGAAAAAAGGAATAGCATATGCAATAAAAAAATTATTTCTTAACCAGATATTTTAGAGATTGAAATTTTTTTTAATCAATATAATCAGGATTTTTTTCCCTAC